CCTTAAACTGTAACATGACTTACTGTGGACTGCTGCTGGGAAAGATTGGTGCCAACTTGTGTGTGACGAAGTGGCACGTGATATGTCTGTGCTAGTACACGTTAGGTCTGAACAACGTGTTTGTGAGGGAAGTCGGTATACACTTAGTACCTGTACCAAAAGACTCGGAGAATGCGATTAATTTAAAGGGAGTTGAATTTTAACTTGAAAGCAGAAGAGTTTTCCTGTATGTCATCATGTGCAAAACTTGATGCTAGGGGATATTGGTACAAAGTGTTCTGCGTTTTAAAACAATCTTATTCTCGAGGGTTGAATCTGCAAAGCTTTCTAGCTATGTGTGGAAGGCTCTCGTCATCACGGACAGAACACAGCTTGGACAGGAGACTGCGTTGTAGTCCGGCAGAGTAAGGAATGTGATATCGTTGAGCAGTTGTCCCGGCAGTTTATAGAATGATCCCGTCTTTTGCTGAAGCACTGGCCGGGGTCCCAGAGGAGAGCAGTCACTGATCTGATTACAGTGTGACATTTCCAGTCTGGGTTGAAGGATGGAATTTCAAGGATTTCTTGGGAGGTGGGGGAGGGCCCAGAAGAGAGGAGAAAATTTTTCAGGTTCTTTCTAGCTGTGGATGAAAACAGCTTATGCAGGGATAATCAGGAGGAGGAGACTTGCATACAGGTATTTTATATGTTCAGACTCAGAAATAAGGAAATAAAACTCTCTCTGGTCCCAATTTGCTATCCAAGGTATATGTCTTGGAGCATCTTCATTCTTAATTGCAGCTTCTTGTCTTCCAGTTTATGTACTGTGGATGTGTCTTTTTTAGTTTTTTGTTTTCTTGGTTTTGGCATATCTTTATTTTCCTCAGTCATGCACAAAGTGTGCATGTATATATATTTAAAGTGTTGGAAGGTAACAGGTGTGAAATACTTAGCGAATTGAGAGGGTGGGTTAAAAATGTCGTCATATTATGGGAAGGGGGGGATTTTTTTTAAGTGGGTATGTCTTTTATAAATGTTTGCATTCTTTGCATTTTGCTTACCTCTGGCATAATGCTGGAGAGAAAAACTTTTTTAAAAAAAAAGTGTTGTATCATGAAGGTGTGAATATGCTTTTCCTACCTTATCTGTACAAGGAAGTGTTGTCTTTCTCTAGTGATGATGGTTCCATAGCCGTCTGTGATAGTGAAACTGTCTTGTTTCCATCATTTTATTGCTGTTTGTAATCTCTTCTGTTTAAAGTTTGCTTCCAAAAAAGCTTCAAAGCCCTTTGAAGTTAGAGAGTATTTTGTTTCCAGTTATTTCCAAAGTCATTTCCAAAGTCACAATAAGTTACAAACCTTGCAAAAAGATGCACGTCTTTCCCAGCTTCACTTCTTATGTGTATACCCCATCTGTATGCTTTGTGCCTGGGAGAGATTTATGTTGTATCGCAGCACTTTACTCTGTTTCCTTGTCTGAAGATTGAAGATACAGCAGGAAAACTGGACTGTGTATGTGGAAAGCTGTGGCAGCAGCAGTACTTGGTTTGGTGCCAGCCTGTATGCATGCAGCTCATGAACCCTCAGTCCCTCTGATGCTGTTCCTGTCTTACGTGGGACTGGAGGAATTCCACAGTTCTGTGCTGATCTGCTTGGGAGATTTATTAGGAGAGCAGGGTTTGTTGCTCAAACAGCTATTCTTTTCTCCTGTGGGGAAAAGGTTGGCTGGATCAAACCAGTTAGCCATCTGTTCCAGCAGCTAGACCGTGGTGAAATAGATGATTTCCTGAGGTTTCTCCCAGCCATATCTTCTATTGTCAGTGCTGTCTGTGGCCTTCCTCTGGCATTTAGGCACCAGTATGTATCCACAGGTACTGAAGAGTCTGGTGAAATGAGGGGTAGGAGAGAAGTCCATCACGGGTAAGGGGGAACTGTCACCCACTGGTGAAATGTGCCTTTCTAGTGATTGCATATCCACAGTGGGTTTTCCATTCATGTGCGATGTGTCCTTCCATTCTGGCAGTTCTGTGCCAGGCTTGGGCTCATTAGGAGCCTTCTGAGAGTTGTGCTTGTGTGTGAGCTTTGCTTCTGTTGTTCTCCAGCCTTTTGAGACCTGCATTGATAAGGGATCAGGGATGCCACTAATTATTCCGTCCCTCCCCAGACTCCCCAGACTTCTCTTTCAACTGTTGAGATATTAAATAAACATGACCTATTTCATTATGCTAGTTGTCTGGAGTGGCCAGAGGTACAGGTAGGAACAATGTGTCTTTTTTTTTTTTTTTTTAACTAGTTAACTTGTGTTCAACTCCTTCTTTTCCAGTTCAGAGCCTGGGGTGGTGGAGTCTCCATGTCCACATCTGTGTTTTAGTATAGATGGTATAGCTTCATGTTAGCTTCTGGTTTTAGATTTCCTCAGTTAGTAAGAAACTGCTTTTTCCTTAATGCCTGGTTAATAATCAGTGTTTCAAATACACTGTTCAAATTGTTTCTGAATTGCAGATGAGTCTGGGAAATTGTTGGTGGATATTTTAATTCCAGTGTGGTAGAAAGGAAGCAATATGATTCAGCTCTTAAATTTTGAACCTCAAATGGTATTTCATAGCACAGCAATACAGGCACTAGATTTATCAAGCTGTGTACCGCTCTTTGCAGGAGGATTTTTGTGGAGTTTCAAGGTAATTTCTATTACAGATTTGGTTTATGAAGAATGATTCTAGCTGGAATACTTGATACCAAGGTTTACTTAAAAATATATAAAGGGGGCAGGGAGGGGTGGAAGACTTGGAAATAAATTTCCTGGATGTTTTAGGGAGTTAGCTCAGTAAAGTAACTTAAAAGTATAAATGTTTTCATTTGGGTTATGATGATACAGTAGTAATGGGAATGATTTGGCTGTCTGCTGACAAGATGAAAAAAATTACTGATTTGCTATTAAAGAGGTAATTTGGGGGGGAACCCTGAACAGCCTTGGCAGGTCTTCTGACTCTGCAGTGGTGGTGTTAGGGTTAACCACATGCAGTGCCTCTTCCTCTGTACCAACCTGTCTGGGTAGTATTTATTTCTTATTGATTCCTTGTTGGCTGGTAAACAGTGGCTGTATGGCATTGTAGTTGTCTTTTGAAGATAGAAGTAATTTTTTTTTATTAGCTTTAGAACTAAGCTTTAATGTTTCATTGATGAAACATGGCTAACTAGTAACTCTTCATTGTTTGCCTTGGCAAAATGATGTTAACTGTGACCAACATTGCACTAAATTCTGGAAAAAAAGCCTGAGGCTTTTCAGCATGTTTTAGCATTAGATTTTTGTTGCTGTTTTAGAACACTTTGATTCTGAATTACACAAGCCCTAACTTGAAGTTTCTCTCTTTGCCTTTACTTAGAATTGAGATTTTAATTTTGAGGCTGTTTTTTAAGCTAAGATTTGATAAAAGGTTGCTGGTTTGCTGATAGAAGAACTTTTCTATCTGAAAAGATATTGGCAAGCAAGTGCACACTCCTCGGTAGGAAACCTAAGCCAGTGGTGTGTGGGAAAGAGAAACTAACATATCTGCATGGCGGTGGGTTTGTTTGGGGTGGTTTTTTGTTGTTTTGCTGCTTGATTTAGAAAAATCTGTTTGGTAGTAAATCTGTGTGACCTGCACTGTTTTTTGCTGACTTCACTGGTGATAGAAAGTAAGCCAGACATCAGAAATATTTTTATTACCAGTTTTCCTTTTGATAATGATTCTTTTCCTATCACTTCATCTGTCTGCTCTTGTATTTCTCCTCACTTGTGGAGTTCTCCTTGTATTTAATTTTTTTGTCCCATAGAGATGTGTTATCTTCTATTCCCTTGTAATTAGTAACATTTGATCCTCTTAGCATTTTGTTCAAAAGTGCCAAGTAATAAAGACCTCCCAGGTTCTCCTCTGTTGTTGTATTTCTGTGTAATCTCTCAATGCATTAAAAAATTTTACTTTCTCTGTCAATATAATCTCTGAGTAGTCAATTAATGATATAAATTGGCGTTAGAAAAGGGTCCTTGAGAAATAGTTGTCACTCTTAACAGTCCAAAGCGACTTCTAGAAATTTTCTTCCTGCTTTTGAGGGATGGAGCTGCTTGGTGGGCAGACTGAGGTCGAGTTATCAACGCTGAATTATACACAGTAATGCATGGAGATTCCCACTGTAACTGAGATGTGACTGGATAAGTCCATGTGGTACTGCATAGCTCTGTACAGATTAGCTTGTGTGAAGGTGCTGTAGTAGCAGCACATAGTATTACCTAGCGCTGTGCCTGAGCTGTATTGTGTGCAGATGGTGTCTGACTGTACCCTGAGCCATTCATCCATTTCTTCTTGAGGCTATGGCAGCTCAGGTGTTTCCGCAGAGTCTGTGCCAATCCAGAGACCACTGAACTCAGAAGAAAGCTTGCTTGTGATGGAGGTTTTGGATGAAGCCTCGTCTAAGCAAAATTATTTAAAGCTCACAATGAATACCATAAAAAATTGTTTTAGTGGAATAAGCACAACAGCCCTTCAAAAATTGTCTTTTTTATTTAAATCTAGTTGATGTTAATTGGCTCATTTGTAAAGAAAAAAGAGAATGTAAAAACTAAAAGCCAATTAGTCTTATAACTTCAATGAGATAGATAACTATCTTGATTTGGTGGAGGGGGGAGGGCAGTGTTTAAGCTGCATAACAGCAGAAACGGTTTTATATGGCTTTTCCGATGCCAGAGGTGAGCTGGAATTAAAACAGGTTGTGACTCAGTCCTCTATTTAATATCAGAACTGCACTCGTAGTTCAGCTGTACCTCTACAAGTGGTATTTACCTAGCACAAAGGTTTTCACATGCCAGTTCCAGTAGAGAATGCTAACTTTCTGTTTCTGTTTTCTTTTAGGTTATGTTTCACACTATGTGCTGACTGTCTGTACTTACAGAAGATATTTAAAAACAAACAGACTTTTTTTTCAAAGATTTTGATTCCAGTGGAATCTGTGCTTTAGATTTTGTCTTGTCAATTAACTCCTGAAGCAATGCCTGTACAAGCTCCACAATGGACGGATTTTCTCTCCTGCCCGATTTGCACACAGACTTTCGACGAAACAATCCGGAAGCCCATCAGCTTGGGTTGTGGCCACACTGTCTGCAAGATGTGCCTCAACAAGCTCCACCGTAAGGCATGCCCTTTTGACCAGACCACTATCAATACAGACATTGAACTCCTTCCTGTGAACTCAGCCTTACTGCAACTAGTGGGTGCTCAGGTATCAGTAATTTTTTTAATATGTTTCTATGTTTTTTCCTTCTTTCTTTTAGGAGGACAAGTCATGAATAAAGAATATGACTCTGGGTTAATGATGTGTAGAATAGACACCTACCTTTTTGTAGACCTACTTTGACAAATGCAGGTTTTGGACCTTTGACATGCTGTAATAGAGTTGCCTGGAACGACAGCTCAAATCTTGATTCTGCTGGTCGCTGACTGTGATTCTGTGTTACATCTAATTTAGTGTAACTGTGGGCTGTCACCAGAATGGGTTGGTTCTGTTCCCTTCCTTCTTCCCTAACTCGTATTTAGCCATGCTCTGCCAAAAGGATGAACTAGATCAGTGAGCTTATCTGGTGGGAAGCCATTCTTCTGTGGTAGGTTACTTGCTTTACCGTATTCACCCTACAGAGTTGTGATCAGTTGTCCCGAAAGCAGGAGGGGAAAGTAAGGGAAGTGGGGACAGACCCCTCTGGTAGTAGCCTTTATGCTGCCTTATATTTAATTTGAAGCTGTGCTCTGGAAATGTAACTTCCTGAGCTGACATGTTAATCTAAATCCATATAGGTGAATGGGGGAGCCTGCATGAGACTCCCCTTTCTGCTGGAATGGGTACTCATGAGGTCAGCTGAACCGGTGATCTGATGCAGATGAGCACTCCAGCAACACTGGTACTGATGGCAGCCTGAGGAAAGGGGCAGGGATGGGTGGAAAGCAGGATTGCCCTGTTCAGTTCCAGCACAGACTTAAATTGGCATAAGCTTATCATGGTCAGATTACTGGTAGTTTCCTGCGACCTATAGGATTGTGGACTTGGGAGAGGAGGGACAATCACGTTTATCTCACAGGTGAGGAGGGACAATCATGTTTAACCTATGGGTGAGGAACAAAAATGTGGATGGGATGCAGTTATCATAGAGGGGTTATTGTTTTCCTTTGTTCGACTTCTGTGTCTGAGCTCAGTGGAGTTGGAGGCAGCAGAAAATTCAATGAGATCTGTAGTTCAGGGAAAAGGGAAGAGCTATGTTTTGGAGGAACTCTGAAAGATGTGGAAGAAAGAATGATCTTTCTGCTCTTATGATGCTTTTTATTAGGTACTGGGACCTACAGATCCAAATGTGCTTTTGACACTTCTTTTTTTGTTTAGTTTATCAAGTAATACAGCTAATTTGTTGTTCTTTTGCAGTGTATGGCATAGAAGTATATCAGAAGTTTTAAAATTGACTTGTGTTTCTGGCTGTGCTAAGTGACTCATCCTGCTCTGCAGGAGAGGGTGATGAGACTGTGCGCTTCCATTTCGATGATACATGTATGCTGCCATCTTTGAAGAGCTTCCAAGCAGTGTGAAATCTGTGGGTGATGCCATAAATAAATATTGTGATTCTCTTTCTCCCTTATCTTCTTCCTTCCTCTCTGGAGTTTCTAGAATAGTTCCAGCTGTATCCAAATGTCCACATTTGTGATAAATATCTTTTTCCTCCTGCATTTTGTGGTGGTTTTGTGTGTGTTTGTTAAGCTTTGTGAGAAGCTATGTGATAGCTTTAACTTGATCTTTCTTTGCCTGAATTAAAATTTCTGTAAAAAGATCCTCTGGAATGAGGTGGAAAATCACCCTGTCTCTGTTACAGGTAATTGCGAATTTTATTCTGGTTTTTCTAGTTAGCCAACCAGAGTTTCCTCATCTGTATGTGCATGAGGTATGAAGAAGGAATAGTGACTTTGTGGTAGTATTGTATTTGTCTTGAGTGCTCTGAACTCTAGGTTCAGACTTTGAACTAATGACATAATTTTTGTGCTCCTTTTTTATATCTTACATTTTTACGTGATCAAGATTCATAGGACCTTGTTTCATGGTGAACTTAAAGCTGCAGATATCGCCAAAAGAGACAGTATTCCCTTCCCCCTCATTTGCTGCTCATGCATGCTGCTTGCTGGATTCTGATACCACATTATAAACAATAATCGGTGATCTTAGCTGGGCTTTTACTGCTGACAAAGTTTCTGCTTAAGAGAAATTTGCACACACCCCCCACCCCCCAGCTCCAATTTCCATGAGCATGTGAATGAAATCAGCATTCAGTATAACTCACCCTCCTTTCTCTTCTTTCCCTTTCCCTTCCTGGCACCTGTTGTAGTGTTTACCAGACTATGGAGCACTAGAAAATAAGTACACTACTTTGCTGTGAAGGACAGGGAAGCAGTTGTTATTTCCCACTAGTCTCTCTAAGACCATTTTTTATCTTCTTACAGAAAAAGGGTTGGTTAAGGACAAAAAAAAAAAAATTTAGAGAAACTACAATAATTTTGAACTCTGTCCTATTCAGAAGGTGGGCTGTCTTTGGTACATATCTACATATCAACAAAAATGACCTGTGAGCAGCAAGCCAGCTTATAGAACATGAGTAGTATCAACAACTTCAATGAAACAAAGCCCATTTTCTTGTTCCACTTCTTGGTTTAGTTTCAGGAGGGTGTATGTGTCATTAACATCCCCTAATCTCCAACAAACCCTTGTACACCTTAACTTGAGTCCATGGAGACATGTAATACTTTACTTTTAAATGATAAATTCCAAAAAACAGGTTTCATTTTAGAAGGAAATAGTGCAACACAATTAAAGCTTTTATCTGGGGGGAAAAAGAACAGTTTGTTCTTTTCCCTTTGGGGAGGCTTCCGAGAAGTTCACACATTTATAAGTGTTAAGCGCTTTTTTGCTGGAGGCAGAGGAGGAGACCAGGCAGTTTGAACAAACAAATCTATTCTGCCATGACTGGCAGTAAGGATATGATTCCAGGGGAAGTCATGTTGGTTGGCTTTCTTCAAGCAGGCACAATGGGTGAAATAAGCAGGACTGTACTTCTGGGGAAAATGTACTAAATTTGTCACACAGGCACCCAGGGAAGCAGTAACCTATTTCCCTGACAGTAGCATTATTGCTCTGTGTAGGTTTTGTCACTTTAACCGTGAAAAGAGTTGGTTTCTTACTTGAATTACAGGTTGTTTCTAAGTTTTTTCCTTTTCCCCACCCCTTTCCAAAAATGAAACCTGTTGCCCAGGTTATAGCCACCCTTGATGTGAAAATTAATTGTTGCGGGGACTCAAATTTCTGCTGCCCCCCTGTAGCATGGTACACATCAACGGTGGTTACAGAGTCTATTCTGGAAGGCAGTGGTTGGGCAGTTCAGCCCATGTATAGATAAGTTCAGCTGCATAAGATGATGGCAGTGAGAAGAGATTGTAAGGGAAAGATGAGAATTATTGTTCCTGGGAGAGCTGGAAATAGCAGAGTGCCTAAGCAGGAGCTAAGTGTATTGTGAGGGAGGGGAGGCACAATGGCCTTTGAACACAAATCAAAAAGGCATTCATGGGATAACTTGCTTTGCGTAAAGAAATCCATTAAGCTAGTTTCTATGGGAATGAGGTTTTGAATTTTAACTATTCAAGCATCCACATATTGCTCACTATATGCAACTATTTTAAACGTTCACCAGGCTAATGTTTTGAAGGTGCATAATCATGGATCTGTCATCTAATCTCTTCCCTCCTGTTAACACATGAAACAGCAGTGTGCACGTTCCAAACAGGTGACATCAAGTGGCAAAAATTCCTGTGGTGCTTTAATTTCTTTCATAGTCTCCTGCTGGACGTGACGTGATAAATACAATTCTAGTCATTAGGCAATGGAATCGTGTATATGATTGAGAGAATAGGTGGAGTGATCTTAACTCACAGCCCTTTCAAAAGGGAAAAATTACAATTGCAGAGATAGCAGCAGCATGTTTGATAATGTAACTTTTGGTGAAATTAGGTGCCACAAAAGAGGAATTATCTGTGAATGAGTTGTCCTTAGTGCAAAGTCTTGAGGAACTGAAGACAGTAGGTTTTGGATTTTGTTTGTTTTTTGTTTTGGCAAGAAGCAAATTACCTATCTGCGAGGCGAAAAAAAAATGGGGGAGGAGGGGAGAGCAACAGCAGTTTTCAAACCAGACAAAAAGGGGCTTGGTCTGTTTAACGTGTTCTCTTTCTGTGCAATTAGATGTCTAATGGTAATTAGTGACAACTCAAGCTGACATCCTTCATCAAATTACACTTAAATCACCAATTCAGAATCACTGCCTGGTATGAGATGATGCTTTAGCATTTTTTTCCAGTCCCCTTCCTCATGCCATCATAACCTGCCTCTTCCCACAGCCACAAGTAGCCATGCTGATGGATGGCATTCCACTGTCGGGATACTCACTGTCATTGCCAAGGCAGATGCATGCAAAATGATCACAAATTTAAAGTAATTAAACATCTGAGATTATTTTTCCTGTCTTGTTCTAGTCCCCCTTGGGAGGTGTTTATTATATTATGTAAATATATTTGCAGTGAAAACTGTGATAAAGGTGTGGTGTCTGAGAGAATGGAATATTGAATGAGGATGAAAGTAATGAACTTGCTCTGCAGGGCATCTATTTTGAGGCTTTCAAGAGGCGTTGTAAACAGAAGTGACCATAGGGTCTTGCATGTTACTGAAAAGATATTTTGCAAAGGGGAAGTAAAAATGCTTCGAAGTTGAATTATTTCTCAGTTGTCCCTCAGCAATTCCATGACAAAGCCAAAATTAAAGTTCAGATCTCCTGTGACTTTTATGAATCATGTCTTTACCATTTTTCTCTTGGTAGATGCTGTTCTTATAATCATTCTAACCCTAAAATATATATTAAAAAAAAAAAAGTAGTCTTGGAAGTGCATATAATAGAACCAGCAAAACGGCAAATTATTTCTAAGTTTTACTGCAAGATGGATCACATGAGTGAAGATTAAGTGTGTGTGGGGAAAAATATTCTCTCCTCCTGAAGAATCCTGAAACCACAAAATAAGCATCATTTTACTGTTCAGTACTACGCTTGCTCCAGCTTAAGATGAAAGTTAAACTGTAACCTCTTTTGGGTTCATTTTGCAAACAGTTGTGCAAGGCTTTTAGGTTTTTACTCTGAAGCTTCTCTTGCAAAGAGAAGCTTGATTAACTCTTGGAAGTTTTTCAATGCCAGCTTTGCTGTGGGAAGGGGAAGCTTTCTGTTAGTTGCCTAGACAGTCCTTGTGTCTCGTTGGTGGAGTTGTGCTGTGTATGGCATTCCAAACCACTACTGTGAATGTGTGCTAAACCTGCCTTAATTCAAGACCGAAATCCAGGGCTGAACATGGCTTCCTGTCCCATGTCTGTTCCAAGACCTCTTTGTCTGCTGAGTGTTGCAATGCTGTAGTTGTATTTCAGGTTGTTGCCAGTGCCAGATTGAATGCTTGCAGGAGTAAATAGGAATTTGTGCAAAATATATTACAGCAGTAAATAGGGCAGAGACTGTATAGTCTCTGTCTCAGCACAAATGCATGAGATGCACATTGTTTGATCAATAACCCAGTTCTGCTTGCACAACTTCCCAGACAGAAACAGACTGTTAAAATGGCAGTGGCTTTGAAAAGGAGGTGGAGTATTCTGTTACCATGAAAGCAAATATTGAAGGTGTTAACATTTGTTTCCCAAATCCCAAGAAGTTAGTCCAGCTGAGGTGGTTGCTGTTGAAACAGTTATGGCTGACCACTGTAAGATACAGTTGCAAAATATACTTTTGCTGAAAGCTTTCTTGCTTACAGAAAAAGAAAAAAAAAAACCAAACAAAAAACAACAAACCAACCCAAACCTGGAAACACCCCAAACAAACACAACCCCATACCCCAAATTAAAACAGAAAACCCCAAAACTTCACAAATTAACTGCAGTCTGTGAAAAGCATCCAGGCTAACCTTGCTGTCTTGGTGTGATTAAACTTGGTTTTGTTTTTCCCTTTAATAGGAGTAGAAAGGGAGGTGTCTGATCCAGGCTATCTTGATGATGATAGTTTTTAATTCAACTTTTAATTCAAGCTGATATGTTACACTCAGAGGCTTTTTTTGTCACCTACTCTAAAAGCAAGAGTTACGCAGCTAGTAACTTTTTATTTTGCAGTGTGTGTCAAATGAATAACTTGACATGCACAGCTGTCGAAACCTGTAAAAGAAGTGTGATCATATGATTGAAACAGATTAATTTCTATTAAAATTGATAGGAAAGCTCCTGTCCACATCGGTGGCAACTGTATATGTACATGTGTGTACATATATATTTTATATATATTCACTGCTTTTATTTGCTGCTGCCATCATAATGCTACTCCTTTACATGGCTGGGTTGCACATGAAGGTTAGCGGGTTTGTAGCGGTCTAACTCAAGCATTAAAGGCTTGTGCTTTTAGATTGAGGGTCTGGGTTGGTCCCTGTAAGCAGCTATGTGGGATTAGCATGTTACTGCCAATGGGATAGTGATTGACTTGGAAATGGAAATTGAAGTCTGAGATCTGTTTGCACTTCAATAGCATATGCAAAAAGCGCTTGTGTTTAGTCTTCTGAGAAATTCCAGATCTTTCTACTACCATATATTGAGTTGATTGAATAGTGGTGTTTAAAAACATTAGTACAGTGCTATGCTGCACTCCCAAATTTGTTGAAGGCTTTAAGAATTTAACTGGAGGAAAACAAAAACAAATTTCTAACTTGGGGGGAGGGGTGGTCCAACATTCCTTTAAAAAATACTGATTTCTCGTGAATGCCTGTATGAAGAAGTAAACGTCACAACAACAACCAAAAAACGTAAACCACCACACCAGAAAACCCCCCCACGAATGTAACTGGCCTGTGTTGTCAGATTAATACTTGCAGGTTGTGTTTATATGCACTGTGTAGGATAACTTGGTCTTGCTGCTTGATAATTGGGTCTAGTCAGAATATGTTCCAAGGGTGTCCTAGGCAGAATATGTTCCAAGAGTATCCTAGTATATTTGCTGCTAAGTCTTTCTCCCACAAATCCAGGTAGCTCCAATCACTTATCCCTGGATGATTTTAGAGCTGTGAGGCCCTAGATACGAATCTGTACTTACCTGCAAACCAGGGTTTGTCTGATTTGTTGTGATTTTAATTTGGCCAGCCAGCTTTAGGGATGTCTCAATATGTGTGTTATTTCAGCCAAAGTTTTACGGTTATAAGAAATGCCCTGTTCCTCATGTAATATTTTTTTGTCATGGAATAAGCCGCCTGCTTCTAGTTCCTGTCAGCCACTAAGCAAAAGAAGTCTACTAACCATAAATGCTTTACATTTTTTTGTCTTCATTTTCACTGATTTCTTTTTTTTAATGCTATTTGTTCATTAAACAAGCTGAAAAATGCTTACTAATATAGAAGAAACACAGAAGGAGAACAAACCAGGAAATGTTTGATACTAACAAGCTTGATACGGTGTTTGTAAGCATGACTGCCACTTATTTATGCATATTCATCATAGACGTACATGTCATCTCTTTTCAGGTTCCTGAGCAGCAGCCAATTACTTTATGTAGTGGAGCTGAAGATACCAAGCATTACGAGGAGGGCAAGAAATGCGTGGAAGAACTAGCATTGTACCTCAAACCACTCAGCAGTGCGAGAGGTAGTTCCTGGACTGTTTCCTTTGAAAATGAAAGCTGGAAACAAATAAGATGCAAAACAAACTATCCAAATGATTAGTTAGTCTGCTTGAAAAATGGATATAAGCCTAATTTAAAAACAAATTGAAACAAATTTCTGAAGCATTAAGGTTGTGTCTTCACAGGGGTGGGGGAGTGGGTGGTGGAATTTAAAGGCATTATGTCAAAAATAATAGTGAGAAAAGGCCGAGGTTATTTGGCTGCGGTATAGTAAGTTGAGACAAACTTTGTAAGTTGAGTTGACTTCTGCAGACTAAGTAAAAACAGATAATTCTGTGGTGGTTTTTTATTTTGGGGTTGTTGGTTTGTTCTGTGGGTTTTTTTTGTTCTGCTTTGCTTTGAGATGACTGTAGTAGTACAGCTTGCTTGTGGAGGAGGAATAAACTGAAATGGGAAAGTTACTGCATATAGGATATATAAGAGAAATAAATAATACTCTGTGTAAGATCTTATACAAGAGCTGGGTCAATCTGAGTAATTCTAATTTAGCAAAACTGCACTGGGCTCAAGAATATGGATTTTATCCATATTACACATGGTGGACTTGGAAGACCTGTCAACCCAAGTAGTAGAGGTGAGCATCATGGGCATGAGGTTTTAAAAAACAAATTTTTACAAAAAGCTGTCTCAAGCTTTTCCAGCTAGTACAGTGTGATAGCAGTATTGCTCTGAGTAGTAGTGGCCCAATGAACAAGCTCTGTGCTGTAGAACAAACTCAGTGTGGCAGCTGTATGTCTAGCGAGTCACTTGTTCCTTTAACCTGGTTTCAGTGGCTCCCAGCATACTTGTGAATCACAGTTTTTGCACATAATTAAACATCACCCAAGCAGTTCTGAACTTGTGTGTAAGTTCAGTTTGGCTAGGCCAAAGCAGTGGAGATGTTTAGTTTCTTATCTATATCTGATGTCCTGTGAAAACAGACAAGTGATCAAAGAAGGCAGTGATCCTAAAAGCCCATGAATAAGGGAAGGACTGCAGTATGATTCTACCCTTGAGGAGTCACCTGGAAATCCATATGGGAGGGTGCAAGATGGACTTCCAACATGGGGAGAGAATTCATTAGAGGTTCCACCTTCTTAGAGGGCCGAATCAGTCCATCACAAGACTTAAACCTGTGGGAAAGCTGACTCCCAGGAACTGTTTGCTTTTAATGCTGAGTAAAACAAACTGACAAAAAGGAACTTCTGATATGCCTTCTCTAGTGTTCTGTTTAACAAAGTCGACATCAGGAGAACTAGGTTTGCATTTCTGCAGTACAGTGGTTGAAGGCTGGCATAAGAAGAAGAGATATGAGGTGGTGTGTTTTCTGCTTCGCTTTGTTTTGAAGGTGTGGGTCTTAACAGTACTACTCAGAGCGTCCTAAGCCGCCCCATGCAAAGGAAACTTGTGACCTTAGTTCATTGCCAGCTAGTGGAGGAAGAAGGGCGGATAAGAGCCATGCGTGCAGCGCGGTCGCTTGGTGAAAGAACAGTCACAGAGCTCATTCTTCAACATCAAAATCCTCAGCAGCTCTCTTCCAACCTCTGGGCTGCAGTGAGAGCCAGAGGGTGCCAGTTCCTTGGACCAGGTAGGTAACATCACAGTACTACTTACATACCTGAAGCAATTCAGAATTGAGGAGGATTGATAAATGGGTGTCAAATTGATTGAGTGATTTTATTAGGCTTAATTTCTTAACAGTAGGTCTTCAGAATTAATGATAGATCTCTTGGGCTGCTGTCATGGATTTTCTCTCATTTTTAGTGCTTTTGCAAGTCTTCTATAAAGTTCAGAATAACGTGTCTCCTTTTGTTCTTGTGATAAGATAAAATGGGAAGTAGTTTCTCACCTGATATTCTTTGAAGAAGAAAGACCCTTCTAGAAAAAATAAGTTACTGGACATGGCTGCTTCTCCTTCTCTAGGGAAATAAACATACAGAACAGTTGTGGGGAGAGATATGTTATATTTGGGGGGTGTGTGTATCCATTTTTCAAAAGTTACATACTTAGAAATTCCTTTTCATAGAATACTAAAACAATCAATTATGTTTAAAAAAATTAATGAAGTCTCGTTACTGAAACTGTAGACTCCACTCATGAGTACCAACAAAAATAATGCCTTGAAATATGAAGCTGATTTCTTAAGAAAAATGAAGATGCTTTTCCCCACTGAAACAAATAAAGGAAAACTAACTTTGGGATGCTAACTTTTGCACCACTGCAGGGAAGAGAGAGGCTTGTTACCTAGCAAAATAGGCAGTGCTACAGCACCTAATTTATTTGTGTGGGCACTAATTGCTTTTTTACCTGCATGGGAACCAATCTTTCCCTTCCTCAGCCTGTCAGCTTTTTCTGCTGGGTTAGGTGTGGGAAGTAGATAATACACTTTGAAAACTCATGTTAATAATCAAGAGATGTATAAACAGAACAAAGAAGTCTTCCTATCATCTGATACCTGATATAGAACAAATAATAATAAAAAAAATTAAAAAGTCCTATTTCCCCAGTCACAGTCTGGGAATCTGGAACTATTCCTTCCCTCTTTTCCCTCCCTTCTTGCTCAGCTCCCTTTCCTGTCTGTGGGTTTGTGTTTGTGTTCAGGGGGTTTTGTAGCTGGTCTCCCACTTGTAGGGAA